CGCGCTGGGGATCGGATCGAACGCGGGCCCGACGGGAATCGCTCGGCACTCGGGCTCCTCGAAGAAGCCCCGTCAGACGCGTTCGGAAGCGGACTCAGAATCGAGCGGACTCGATAGAAATCGAAATCGGAAACGTCAAAAATCAGACTCGGCTTCGTCGCCCTCGAATTTTGGCCCCGTGTCCGCGTAGCCCACGGCGACGGCGCCCGCCCCCGCGCCGTCGGGCACGGGGGGCGGCGCCGACGCATCGGCAGGCGGCGCCAGCGGCGGCGGCGGCGCCAGCGGCGGCGGCGGTGGAAGCCCAGCCGCTACGACCTCCGCGGTCGCGAAGGCTCTGGCAGCTCTGCGGCGGGCCTGTCCTGCAACGGCGCGCGCTGCAGCGCCACTCGTTCTCTGGTGCGCAGTCTCCCAGTCGGCCGCAAGCGACGCGAAGGCCTCGGCCTCGGCGCTGTCTCGGACGACGCGCCTCTTCGACGCAGGCTCGGGCGGGCCCGCCGGACTGCCCACCTCCGCGTCCGCCTCCGTGTCGGAGCCCTCCACCACGAGCGGCGCCGCAGCAGGCGGCCCTGACGACGAAGCAGCAGCCCCGGCGCGCGCGGCAGCACCAGACTGGGCCGCGATCGTCGCGATGGGGATTTGGCCGCCGACAGCGCCAGGCGGCCCCGTCGACATCTCCTGGCCAGCGTCGGGGGCGGGCGGCAGCGCGAGCAACGGCGTCGGAGGCGCGTGCTCGAGCGACGGCGGCGCCCCGCACTCCGACCAGGGCCCGAGGAGAAGCTGCGGGGCGGCCGACTCGCCGTGGATCCACGGCTCAGAGGTGCTGAACACCAGGAGAGTGCGCAAGTCGTCGGCCGCGGTGTCGGGCACGCCCAAAGGCGACCAAGGGCAAGGCTGCATCGGCGTCGGGGGCCCCCTCGGGGGGGCGCGGCGCCCAAGGAGAACCTCGATCCGCTCGTTGATGGCGGAAAGAAGCAGTGCTCGGCCAGCGATGGGAAACCGCCCCTGCTCCTCCGCGCGCGGCGGCGCGCGGCTCGCCAGCTCCAGCTCCATGGACTGCTCGGCCTCGGACGGTCCAGGCGCGGGCGGCTCCTCTGGCAGCGGCGGGCCCGGCTGCTCTGGGAGCCCCTGGCGCACGCCCCCGAACCAGTGCTTCAGCCGCCACTTCACCTGCGAGTCGGCGGGGGGGGGACATGAAGGAGAGAGAAGGGCGTGACAGGAACATGGCGGGCCCGATTTGCAAACTATGCCGATTCACCTTGCTCTCCCGATTCTTGCCGCCCCGCTTGTGCCTCGCCGAAGCGAAACCCTTGGCTTCCCACGGCGGAACGCTCTGGGAGGGGCCGGCGCGCTCGGCTGCACCATGGCCCCCCCCCTCGTCGCGCCATGGAGCCGCGGCGTGCGCCTCCGCCTCCGCCTCCGCGGCAGCGGCCCTGCTGCTCGAGGCGGAGGGCCACCGCCAGGCGCTCCGCCAACCGCTGTCGGAGGCCCAGGCGGAGGACCGCCAGTCGCCGTCGGAAGACCACGCCCCGCTCCACCAACCACCCCAGGCCATGGCGTCTGCCAGGGGCAGCGGCAACGGGAGCTGCGAACGCGCAGCGCGGCAACACGTGCTCGCTGCTCGAACCAACGCAGCAGCAAGGAGCGAGAACGCATGCATGACGCCTCTTCCCCCTTTTCCCGTGTTCCTTTTCCTCCTCTTCCTCTTCTTCCCTCTCCTCCTCCTCCTCCTCCTCGTCTTCCTCCTCCCCCTCCCCCCCCTCCTCCTCATCCTCCTCCTCCTCCCCTCCCCCTCCTCCTCCTCCTCCGCCTCCTCCTCCTCCCCTCCTCCTCCTCCTCCTCCTCTCCCTCCTCCTCCTCCCCTCCTCCTCCTCCCCTTCCTCCTCCTCCTCCTCCTCCTCCTCCTCCTCCTCCTCCTCCCTCCTCCTCCTCCTCCTCCTCCTTCCCCCTCCTCCCCCCCCCCCCCTTCCTACTCCTCCTCCTCGTCCTCCTCCTTCTCCTCTTCCTCCTCCTCCTCCTCCCCCTCCTCCTTCCCTGGGCGCTGGTGGACCCTGCCACTGCCACTGGGACCTTCACCGGAGCTCCCTCATTATGGGGCCACGGAGCGTGCGAGAGATGCGCCGGAATTGACCTGCGGAGAGCGGCCGCAAGGATGGGAGGAGGGAGGGGGAGAGGGGCCCGATACACTCATAAACCCAGATACTTTGAACAAAAACAAGCAACAAAAAAACACATAAATTCAAATTATTAATTAATAAATGGAATAAATTTTAAAAAATGAATTTCCAATGAAAAACCAAATAAACAATGCAAAATCTGAATAAACAATAGAAAATCATAATTTTTGAATTTCCGGTTAAAAATCTCACTGGCGAATAGATTTCCTTCCCTACAGGATCCTTGAATCATCCTAACCTACCTAGGCTCTGCCTAGAAGGGTTCTTACTCGGAGGCTTAAAGGGGCCGGGCAGTGTAACCCGCCCCGGGCGGTTCCCCCAGGATCCGCCCCGCGGTTCCCCCAATTACGTTCCCTTAGCTTCGCGTTGCTTATCTCATCTTAGCTTAGCTTATTTCATCTTAGCTTAGCTTAGCTTCATCTTAGCTCAGGTTTATATTAGCTTAGCTTACCTGCATCTCAACTTCGCTGAGCTTTAGCATAGCATGGCACAGCATAGCATAGCATAGCGCAGCACAGCATAGCGCAGCACAGCATATCATAGCATAGCCCAGCATAGCATAGCATAGCGCAGCATAGCATAGCATAGCAGGGCATAGCATAGCGCAGCATAGCATAGCATAGCATAGCGCAGCATAGCATGGCATAGCAAAGCATAGCATAGCATAGCATAGCATAGCATAGCAACTTATACTGCTTTCCTAGGGGCTCCAACTTCTAGGTAGGGTCGCACTGGGGTAATTCTAAATATGGACATGCCCGACTTGGCCGTGTCTTTGGTCTTTTGGTCGAGGGGGAGGAGGACGACGGGAAGGATCAGCGGCGCGACTGGGGGGGGGAAGGCAGAGGGGGCAGGCCTGCTCGGGTAGGTGCAGATATGGTGCTCGCGCTGTCAGTGCTCTGCTCTCCTGGTGCGTTGCACCGTCGTCCGCACCTCGCTTCCGCATGCCCGAACTCCGTGGCTGCCTGCGCGCCCTCCTGTGCTCAGCTGCGCTCCTACCCTTATGGTGAAGTCGGGCGCGTCCCCCTACAGGGGGATCTTCGACGAAAAAAATACCCCAAAAATACACCAACATGGCAAAGAGATACTCAAAAAATAGTCCCCAGCCCATTTTTTGATCATTTTTGAGCATTCCCCCTGTAGAGGGACGGGCCCGACTTAACAATACGGACACTGCGCAGGCCTGACGAAAGCTTGAGAGGTCCCTTCCAATGTGTGCACGATTGCAGGTAGAGATGGTACAGCGGCACGCTTTCCTGCGCAAAAATGAGCGCACACAGGAGCGAGACGCTCTTGGAGGCGAGGGCGCAATTGTTGCGGGGATGCTCGCCGAGGCAAATGCGAACGCAGAATGGGGCGAGACGACTTTGAAAGCAAGAACGAAAGCAAATGGCAACGGCACGCCGTCACGAGCAAGTCCAACCGTGAATGGTAGCGAGACGCTCTCGGAAGCAAATACAAACGTGAATGAAAGCGAAACGCTTCTGGAAGCAGATGAGAACGCAGATGGACCGGTTTGGGAACAGAGCGCGCCGACTCTGCACGGAAGCAGGACCGTCGCGAATCCGTGCGCAAAAAGCTACGCTGCGTTGCATCGGTCCATTCGTCCATCCGCCCCTCCTCCCTCCTTCCTCCTCCGACTTGTCCGAGCATGCTCCACGCCAAGCCGCTGGCTGACGACAACCCCCGTTTGTCCTCGCCGTCCTCGCCCAGGCCCGCCGCGTCGCCATCCATGAGGGGGGCGTCCAAGAGGGGGGGGTGCAAGTCCGCCGACCCCTTGGGGTCATCGGCGTGTGAGATGCTTCCCCCTCCCCAAAACCCTCCCCCCGGGGCCCCGGTCCAGTCGGTTTGGAGGGGGGGGCGTCTGGCTGGCCCCGGCTGAAAGCGTCACGGGCCTCACGACGGGCCATGAGGGCCCCAAAAGGCCCACAAGATGGTCCAAGAGGGCCCCGAGTCGCCGATGGATTGTTCCATGACGCCCAAGATGGCCCCCAGACTGCCCAATAGGCTTCCGAAACGCCCCAAGAGGCCCCCAAGAGGCGTCCCAAGAGGGCCCCCTGAAGCAAAACATAGTCCCATTTCCTAAGGGAAACGTATGATTTTAGCACAGTCGCAACTTGGGCGTTCACAACAACCAAGACGGCCCAAGGCCCAAGAGGCCTCCAAGATCGCCCCAAGACGGCCCAGGAAGCCCCAAATATGCTTCAAGACAGCCCAGGAAGCCCAAAGGCGGCCCAAGAGGCCCCCAAGACGGCTCCAGAAGGGGGCCCAGGCGGGGGACCCGAACGGAAATTTCGAGCCTTCGACCCCAAGAAGCCTCCGAGAGGCCCCAAGAGGCCCCCAAGAAGCCCCCAAGAGGCTCCAAGAGGCCCACCTGAAGCCAAAAAGAGGCCCCAAGAGGCCCCAAAACGGCTCCCAAAAGACCTCAAAAGTGCTGCCAGGAGGCCCCCGAGAGACCTACCAGGAGCCCCCCAATGGGTCGGCGATGCGGCGTAAGCCCAAGAATCATGGCCCGAGGCATGTGCGCGGCCTGGGGGGAGGCGGGGGACGTATTGAAACAAGAAGCGGCGCCATGAAATCCTGGCCCCACCCTGGTCATCACCCCCCTCTTGGCCGCCCCCGACCCCAGAGGTCTGGACCCCTGCCCCAGGCCAGTCTTTCATCCCGAGTCGTGCTCTGACGGCCACGGAGCTCGGCGAAGGCCCCAGGGGCCGAAGATGATCAAAAGCCTCCCGTCGCCACTCGCAGCACAACCAAGAGGAGATGCATCCCTCCCCCCCGCGCTCCAACCGTTGAGGCCCGCCCCCGAGCCCAGGTCCCCCGGTCCGCGAAGACGGTGTAGCAGGACCTCCCCTCGTAGCACAGGGCCGCCACCTCGGACTGGGGCCTCTCGGCGGGGCCGGGGAGGAGGAGGGGCAGGGTGAGCCAGGATCGGGGGCGCGCAAACGTGGATTCGCGATCCATGGATGTGGCGCGCGGTCTCCAGATCCACGTCCGGAGGTGACGTGCTGAGCGGCAGCGTTTTCCGGCGAACGCCTTCCTGCAACGTATCAAATTTATCCAATGATTGCATACTTGCCACATGTTGTATTGTGTTACATTATTATGTCTCCCCCCTAACCCCCCCTGGGAGCTGCGCCACACCGCCGGACCAAAGTGGCTCCCCCCCTCCCGGGGCTCAGAAACCTACCAAAACATATAGAAAATCAATGATTTCGACCTCTTGGGCCTCTTGGGGGGCCGAGAGGGCGCCAACACGGTTCAAGATGGGCTCTGTGCAGGCCAAAACGGCCCCGAGACGGTCCGAGATGGTTCCAAGAGGGCCCAAAAAGCCCAAATGACGGCCCAAGAGGGCCTCAACAGCGCCCACAACTGCGCCTCCAGAGGCCAAAATCATTGATTTTCCTATGGTTTGGGCACTATTTTAACGTTCTCGCCTTTGCGGCCCAAGCAGCTTCGCAAATAGCTCCAGCACAACCCAAGAAGCCCCCAAGAGGGCCCCGAGACGGCCCAACAGAACCCCAAGACGGCCCAAAGAGGCACCCAAGACGGTCCAAGAGGCCCCTATGACAGCCCAAGAGGACCCCAAGACAGCCCCAAGGCGGCCGCGAGAGGCCCCCAAGACGGTTTCCGAAGGAGCGAAACGGCGCAAAAGCGCCCCAAAACCGCCAAAGACGCCCCCAAGAGGCCCCAAGAGGCCCCCAAGAGGCCCCCAAGGGGCCCCAAAAAGCCCCCAAGAGGCCTCCAAGATGTCTTCAAGAAGCCTCCCAAAGGCTCCAAAGAAGCCCCCCAAAGGCCACATAGCGACTGCCCCAAGACGGCCCGAGATGGCCCCAAAAAGGCCCCAAAAGCCCCCAAGACGGCCCAAGGGGGCCCCAAGAGCGCCCACAAGAGCGCCTCCAGAGGCCAAAATCATTGATTTTCCTATTTTTTAAACAGATTTTAGCGTTCTCGCCTTCTCCGCCTCTCAGAAGCCCATGACGGCCCAAGCAGCCTCCAAGATGGCCCCAAGAAGGCCCAAGAAACACCCAAGGGGGCCCCGAAAATGTAACGTATCCAACGGATCCAATGGATCTAATGATTCAAAATTGCTACATGTTGTTTTGCTTTACATTATGATGTCTCCCCCTCGAACCCCCGTTGGAGTCGCGCCACTACGCCGTACCAAAGTGACGGCCCCAATTCTGGTGCTCTATATATATATATATATATATATATATATATATATAGAACAATTTCGGTTTTTAGGGTCTCTTTGGGACTCCAAGAAGGTCTCCATATGGCCCGGCGTGGCTCCAAGACGGTCAACAACGCACTCAAGACGGCCCAAGATGGCCCAAGAAAGCCCAGAAAGCTCCCCAAGACGGCCCAGGAGGGCACCGAGAGCACCCCCAAGAACGCACCTAAAGGCCAAAATCAAGGATTTGGGCGTTCTCGCCTTTTTTGATTGTCAGAGGCCCAAGACGGCCCAAACAGCTTCCAACATTTCCCTCAGACCGCCCCAGAAGCGCCCACGGGAGCCCCAAGACGGCTCCAGAGGGCCCCAAGACGGCCCAATGAACACCCCAAAACAAACCAAGAAGCCCCAAGACGGCCAAAGAGGACCCCAAGAGAGCCCCAAGGCGGCCGTGAGAGCCACCCAAGACGGCCTCCGATGGGGCGAAACTGGGAAAAAGCGCACCATCACGGCACAAGACACCCCCAAGAGGCTCCAGGAGGCACCCAAGAAGCCCCCAAGAAGCCCCCAAGAAGCCCCCAAGAGGCCTCCAAGAGTCTCCCAAGAGGCTCCCAAAAGGCCCCACAACGACTGCACTGAGCGGCCAGCTGACGGTCTGGACCAGGTGCAGCACGTGGCTCATCGCACGAACTCCACTGGGCGCAGCGCGCCTCCAAGTGCAGACCACGACTTGACTGCACGTACTCCGGACGTGCACCCCGCGAAGCGAGAGGAATCCATGGATCGGGGGGGGGCCCCTCCCCAAAATGCAGCCAGTGCCGCCTCGCTCGGCGGCGGAAATGCGCGATTTCCCATGGAAACGGGACCCGTCGCTACTCCACGCCTCCTTGATTCATGTTTGCGATCGCCCGACGCGAGCGACGAACGTATCCAGATCCACGCCCGGGCCCTCATGGTCTGGATCCCGGGGCGCGATCCCGCGATGCGCGGCTGCACGGACGAGTGCCGTGGCCGCGAGGCGGCTGCGCGGAGCCCGCGGATGCGCGGTCGCGGCCCCGGGGGTGCCCGGCCCGCGAAGGATGCGGCTGTGCCGTGCTTCGCCCACGGAGGTTGCATGGGGGCACCGGCTCGGGGAGGACGTGTCGAGCTCGAGTCGGCGCGAGGCGTTGCCAGTAGCGCGGCGGAAGGCCCCCGACAGCGCGGGCGCACGCTCCTGGGCGGGGCGGGGCTGTCGGGCCCCTGCCGGCGATGGGCAGGCGATTTGGTGTGGATGCATCCCCCCGGAGCAGATCCCCCCCCATCGTGGCCTCTGAGGGGGGGGGAGGGGGGAGAGGTGGGGGTCAGGGGGGCCAGAGGATCGAGGCTCGAGGCTCGAGAATCGAGGATCGAGGATCGAGGCTCGAGGATCGAGGATCGAGGCTGCCCCCCCCGCAACGACGGCGCCGCTGGCCCCCCGTTGGGGGGGGCGGCGGGTCAGGGGGGGCCGAAGTCGGACACCAAGGGGCAGGAGCGGAAGGGGCGGGAGGAGCGGAGGCAGGGGCGGGAGGAAGAGAGGGAGGAGGCGGAGCGGGAAGTGTACGAGGAAGGAGGGGGGAGAAAGAGGAGCAGGAGGAGGAGGAAGGAGACCGTGAGAAAGAGGCATGAAGAACATGTGGAGGAGGAAGAGGGGGAGGTGGAGAAGAGGGAGAGACTCGGCGACCCACCCGGGCCAGGGCGGGTCTTTAGCTGCAGAGGGGCGGGCCGCAAGAGCGCACGAGAGCGCGAAAGGGGTCCCGACGAGGCTCGCCTCGCAGCGGCCCTGCGCAGGCCGGGTCAGAGCCTCCTGGGGCCACACTGGAGTGCGTCCGGGGCCGTCTGACGGGGCCTGCGAGGCCGTCTGGGGTGCCCCCCCGGTCCCCTCTGAAACCCACTCGCTGGCGGCTGAGCGCCTCCTCGGGCCATGGCACTCCTGCGGCCCATCCAAGCGGTCCCCCTAAGAGTCGCACCAACAGGTCGCACGCGACACGCGGTTTCCGCCACCTGGCCACCACGGGGACGCAAAGCACGGTCTCCTTGAGAGGACGCGAGATCGCTCCTGGGGGCCGCTCGGGCCGTCCAAGGGTCTGTTTGGAGAGTCTTGCACCCTTCTTAAATAGCAAGAAGGAGCAGGAGGGGGAGGGGGAAGCGTGAATGGGAGAGAGAGCGAGAGAAAGAGAGAATGAGAGAGAGAAGAAGAAGAAGAAGAAGAAGAAGAAGAAGAAGAAGAAGAAGAAGAAGAAGAAGAAGAATGACGGGTGCGCAGGACACCGAGGTAAGCGAGCTTGAAGAAAAAACTACAACGCACTGGCAGACTGACAAGACAACTTCACACGATGAAAGCGACAGGGCATATTAGCAGCCGAATGCAGGATCACATAATCGAGCACGTCAGGACAAGGGGCAGGGGTCAAGGACAGGGGAGGGCCCTGACCCGACCTGAAGGAAAACAAGGAACAGGCACTGCACAATGCAAAGAAAGTCCCCGTCGACTCAAGGGGAGAAGTAGACAGGGGCGGTTGGATTTGCCCAGGGTGTCTATCAGATGTGAACATCAGACATGGGGGACCTCGTGAGCCCACCACACCCCGTCACAAGCGCGTCCCGCGGGGTTCATTCAATCAAGTAAGAACTTGCCGTCCTCGACGCGGCACCCCGTCACAGACTTGCATCGGCAGCCGGTAGAATGCAAAAAGACACTGCTCAACTGCGGCAAACAAGACCTGCCATCAGAATGCGTTCACGACAGGGGCAGTTCTGGAGCTCTCTTGGGCCGTCCAGGGACCCTCCTGGGGGCCCCTTGTGCCGTCTTGGGGCTGTCTTGGGGGCCCCTGGGGCCGTCTTGGAGCGTCGGAAGCTCGAAAAGGAGATGACGTGAAAAACATCGCGAAACATAGTGAACGTTAAGGATGCTTGCATTAGGTCGGGCATGTCCTCCTACAGGGGGATTTTGGACGAAATATACAAAATAGCCAAAGAATACTCCAAGATAGTGAAGATAGTCGGAAAATCGCCCCTAGACTATTTCTGACCGTTCTTGAACATTCCTCCTGTAGGGAGATGCCCGACTTGAATCTTGGGGCCGTCGTGGGGGCAGGCCACAAGGCATAAACAAGTCACCGAGCAAGCATCGGTCGCGTGCACGCGCCAGCCTGCACACCCAGTAGTTCCACCCCAGCGTGCCCAGCACTGACGCAAAAATCTCCCCGGGCAGCCCCTTTCGCGATGCACTGGGCATGCTTACGCTGGTGCCGCAGGGAACATAACCGCCGAGGCTCTCTCCCCAAACCTGCAGGTGCGGAAGGGGAGATTTGGGGGAAGTAACTCTGTCTACAATCATCCCCTGCGCCCACGGTGCGTCCTTCCAGCTCCGTCTCATCACCCTCCTTCTCCTCCACCCTCGTCATCATCCTTTTCCTCTCCTCGTATTCCCCTTCCTCCTGGTCATCATCATCATCATCATCATCATCATCATCATCATCAGCAGCAGCAGCAGCAGCAGCATCATAATCATCATCATCAGCAGCAGCATCATCATCAACAGCAGCATCATCATCATCAGTAGCATACAGTCGGACCTAAGACAGAAGAACATCCTTCAAGAACATGAGACACTCCGCCGGCCAAATTGAGGCACATTCGAGGGTACCCTCCCCCAGGATCCACAAGAACATTTATCAAGCACCATGAAGATTTGGGCACCCTCCCCGAACTTCCATCGACCTTATACCTCGGTACGACTGTATAATTGTTTCCCTCCTCTCGGGGGGAACGAAAGGTGGGGATAGCAAAAGGTAGGGTAGAGAATCAGCTCACGTAGCTGATTTCCCCAGCGCCTCCCGGCGCCGGGAGGCGCCCATGTATCGAGAAATGAGCCCTGCGGCGGGGCCGAAACCAGCTGCATGCAGCAGATTTCGTAACCCTTTTCCTATTCCCCCCCCTTCCGTTCGGCCCGATCCTCCCGACCTACAGCCCTGACATCGTCCTCCCCGCCTTGCTCTCCACTCCCGTTCCCCATTGGCAGAGATCGGGCCGATGTTCGCTCCCAGGTGCAGCAGCCCAAGCAGGTACAGAAGACAACAAAAAAAAAAAACAGGCAGGCCGAGAAAGGAGGAGAAAACTCCGACCTGGGCCACGAAAAGAACATCCCTCGAGAACACGAGATCCTCCACTGGCCAAGAGGACGAGCATTCGAGGGCAGCCTCCCCCAGAATGCACAAAGACATCCACCAGACACCAAGAACATGAGGGTGCCCTCCCCGAACCGACCCCCATCTTATACCTCGGTCCTTCTGTACGCACGACTATCCGCCGACCCCCGCTTGCCGGGCGTGGCAACTCGCGCGTGTAGGATTATGCTGTTCCCTAAGAACATCAAAAAAATAAGTTCGAGCTCCAGAAAAGTGTCGAAACAGTGTCAAAAAAGTGTCGCCTCCCATGGGCCCGACACGTGACAAATCTCAAGTTTCGGTACTTTCTTGGTGCTCGAAATTTCGGCGGTGGCAAACCTCCCTTTGGTAAACCTCCCTTTAGTCAAAGCGGCCTGGGACAGAAACCGACGGACCTGGACCCGCAAAAATGACGGCCGCGACGCCCTCTCGCGAACCGAAAACGGCCAATTCCTCAATCGACGTGTCAGGGTAGGAGGTCTGTCCGCCCCCGAAAATTCTTTCTGGTGGTCGAAGCTACAGTAGGTTCGAACATCATAACGTGCAGGAGAAAAGAATACGGGATAAGATTGAACCTTCGCAGGTCCAGGCGGATTTCTTGGAGGGACCCCATCCCTGGCGCGCGGAACGCGCCATGGACGGCGCGGGAGGCGCTGCTGGGAGGGTCCAGCGCCGATACACATAACCGGAGTGGTTAGTGTCTTCGAATGAGACGGTTGGTAGCAAGCAACTCACGGAAACGTTTGGTCGTCCACATCGCGCCCACTATCGCGCAAAGCGGACACCATTTCCCTCAAATGGCGCTACTGGGCGCCATTAGTCGCTGTTGGACACTATTTGCACGTCCCTCCATAAGGCTTTCCCTGGCGCTACTTGGAGCTACTTGGCGCTACTGAACGTTAGTTATGGGCGCCATTCGCCGATAGACGCTCAGTCCAAGACGAGCAGGAGCTGCCGCGACTTACGACCTACCCTTCGGTCGGGCATGTCCTCCTGCAGGCGGATGTTGGAAAGGAACGAAAACATAGTGAAAGAAAAACTCCCAAATAGCCCAAGCTGTACGTTCATTAGCTTATTCCCTACCTAGGCTCTGCCTAGAAGGGTTCTTACTCGGTATGCTTAAAGGGCCGGGCAATGGAATTCGCCCCGGGCGGTTCCCCCGGCATCCCCCACGCGGTTCCCCCAAGTGCGCCCCTGCGGTTCACCCCGCTTAGCTTAGCCAAGTTAAGCTTAGCTTGGCCTAGCTTAGCTTAGCTTAGCTTATCTCATATTAGCTTAGTTTAGCTTAGCTTTGCCTAGCTCAGCTTAGCTTAGCTTAGCTTAGTTTAGCTTAGCTTAGCATACCTCATATGAGCTTAGCTTAACTTAGCTTAACTTAGCTTAGCTTAGCGCAGCTTGGCTTAGCTTAGCTTAGCTTGGCTTAGCCTGGCCAAGCTTCTCTTAACTTAGTTTAACTTAGCTCACCTTAGTTCAGCTTAGCGCAGCGCAGCATAGTGCAGCGCAGCATTAGCACAGCATAGCATAGCACAGCATAGAAAACCATAGCATAGCAAATCATAGCATAGCATTGCATGGCATAGTTCAGCATAGCATGGCATCGTATAGCATAGCATAGCATAGCATCGCATAGCATAGCGCACCATATCATAGCACAGCATCGCATAACAGAGCATAGCATAGCATTGCTTACATAGCACAGCGCAGCAAATCATAGCATAGCACAGCACAGCACAGCATAGCATAGCATAACATGGCGCCAAGACGAGCCTAGATGTAGGTGTAGATGTAGATGTGGATGTCGGTGTAGATGTAGATGTAGGTGTAGATGTAGGTGTAGCTGTAGATGTAGATGTAAGTATCACAGTTGGTTTTGATGCAATCGTAGATGCAGGTGTAGATGTAAATGTAGCTGTCGGTGTAGATGTAGATGTTGCTTTCCTAAATGCTCCAACTCCTAGGTACGGTCGCACTGGGATACATATATGTATATATACATATACATATACATATACATACATATACATATATACATATATACATATACATATATATATATATATATATATATATATATATATATGTTTGATATTCGCCCTGTAGAGGGACATGCCCGAATTAAACCCACCCGCCCCCCTCCTACGGGGCCCAGGCCCCAGTCAATTGGGGGGGGGCGGGGGGCGCATAGCGCCTGCCCCAGGCGCGCCAGGCGCGCTATCGACGCACCCCGCCGGGAAACCTCGCAGCCTCTGGAACCGCCCTCCGCGGCCGCCGCCACGCCCCAAGCTGCCGCCCAAAATGGCCTCCACGACGCCCGGGGGGGCCCCCCAAAACGGCGCGGCGAACACTGCATGGTAAGTGCGTGGGAAATCGCGTTTCTCACAACCTTCACCCTCAAACTGGGTCATACATACATACGTGTATACATACATGCATATATATATATATATATATATATATATATATTGCCCATTCACTGCCGCCCTCTTCGCCATTAGCGCTGTCGGCCGCGCCGAAAGATGGGAGCGCCGCAACGGGGCGCTGGGCCGGCGGGCTTCCAGGGCGCCAACGTCGTCGTCGTCTGACGGCGACGATGGGACCGTAGCTCTTTGGGCACTGGATACAATTGCGAGGCCCTTCTCTCTAGGACCTCGTCGAACCGCGCAGCGAGCGGGTCGGCATGCGGGAACCAGCCTCTCTCAAAAAGCCGTAGGACAGGCTGGCGCGGTTCGGCCGGCCACCGCCCAGTTCCAGCCTCACCGGGCGTCCGCGGTCGTCCTCGAACCCCTCGGCGGAGACGCCCGCGGGCGCGCTCGCGGCCCCCCTCAGGAACTCCGCCTGCGCACTTCGCGACTGGACAAGGGCCGCCCCCACAGGCCTCCAAGAGACCCCAAGGAAGCCCCGCAACACACGCGGGAGAAGAGGCAAACGAATCAGCAGCAACTACACTCCCAGGAAATGAGTTTGCACGCCCCGAGCCGACGCCCAGGCAGCGCGGCGCCCGCTCACCGCCATCCTCCAGCCCCTGGCCAGCGCAGCAGCGGGGCGTCGCCCCGCCCGGGTCACTGGCCGCCGAAAGCTCGGCGGCCACGCGCGAGCACGCGGCAGCGCCAAGGACCGGGGCGCCCCGGCAAGCGCGGCATGCAGCTGCGCGCCGCAGCTTCCCGCGGCCAGCCGCGCCCGACAGGCTGGCAGGGCGGCCCGCGGCAGCGCCGAGCCGCGCGTCGCCGCCGCCCCCAGCGCCCCGCCGCAGCCAGCGCCGCCAGAGCCTCAAGAGCCGCCGCCAGCGCCTCCAGCGCCGCAGTCGCCGCCGGTTCCCTGGCGCCGGCGCGCGGCCGCCACCGGAGCCTCTGGAGCCGCCGGCGCCGCCGCCGGCCCTCGAACGCGCAGAGCGCCTCGGTCGAGCAACCCAGGCAGGCTGCCGCGCCCGGCCCCGCCTGCCCCGGCAGAGTGGCCTGTCGGGGAGGCGCGAACGCTGCGGGAGCGCAGCGCGATGTCTTTCGCACCTTCTCTACAGCCAAGCCCTGCTTGAGCTTGCACGCCACGCCGCCGGCCGGCGTTCTGCCGCGCGCCGGCAGCAGCCCCAGCCCAGCCAGGCCCTGCCACGCTTCCACCAGCTCACGCGCGGCGGCAGGCAGGCGCCCAAGGGCGCCGCGAGGCGAGCTGCAGCCCAGGTCTCTCACTGGATCCTTGGCCGCGCCAGACCAAGAGGTATGGAAGGCAGCGTTCCGCCGCGAGCAGGCCAGCTGCCCGCCCGGCAGGGCGTGCCCCAGTGCTGCTGCAGCCACAGGGTCGCCTGGCCAAGGCTGTCGGCGCGCGCCCCGAAGGCTGCGGGCCCATCACCCGCGCCCCCCCGCGGCCCGAGGCGCTCGCAAAGCACCCCGAAGACAGCCACCCAGAGAGGCTGTAGCGCAGGATGCACGACCGCGCCCCGGCCCCGGGACCAGACCGCACTCGCCGCGCGGTCGAGCGCCAGGTCGCAGGGCTCAAGTGGGTCACCACGGCAGCGAGGACGACAGGGGAGTGGCTGGCCTCG